GGCGGGGGGGGGCGGCGGGGGGCGGGCGAGCGAGCGACCAAACGAGGGGATATCCGCTCGTGCGCTTGCCCGCTCCTTCGTGGCGAGCGAGCGGACTGGGCCAGTCCCCGCTCGCTCGCTTGTCCGCTCGAAGGCGAGCGAGCAAGCGAGCGAGGCCACCGAGAGCCCGCCAACATATCCAGAGAAGGCCCCAAAAGATCACCGGGAGGCATCCGTCTCCATTCCCTTTACATGTGCCCCGGGGCTGGTCGAAAGGGCGGGCCGGGCGTTTCGCCTCAGTCTTTTCCTCACCACGTACGGCCCTGGAGCTGACAAGCTGGCAACAGTTTCACACAAGGAAGGCGGGTCCCTTTCGACATGTGGCTCAAGTTCTATCGCCGTGCGCACTCGAATCTGCAAGGGCTTCACGTATTGAGGGCGGGCCGTTTTCAAGATGTGGTTTTCGCCTTAGCGCCGCGCGCATTCGTTTAACAAAATGTGCGAAAGATTCCCGCGCACATTCGCTCCAACATTGGAAAAGCTTCTGGGTTCAACGCAGGCCGTTTTCAAAATGTGGCTCTCGCCTTAGCGCTACGCGCATTTGTTTCAACACCCTATAAGATCTTCACGGCTTGAGGGCGGGTCGCAACAGCTTCACGGGTTGAAGGTGGTTCCACTTAAACATGTACTTCTCGCCTTGACGCCGCGCACATTCGTCATACAAATTTCAAACAAATTCACGGGTCCCCGTGCTCAGCGAACCAGACGTGGTGTTTGGGAAGGACTCTGGATCGTGAGGGTGCGACACTGACGTTGATACGAGGTATCGAAGTCCTAAGACTTGTGTTCTGGCACGGTTCAGGATCGTTAAGGCGCAGCAATCAAGTTGATCCGTGGCGCTGGAATCCCGAGAATAATGTTCTGGCACGCTTCAGGGTACTCAAACGGTTGTCTCCCTACGAAGCAGCCCCCCCGCTGGAGGCAATCCCGTGAAGGGGCCTGCGATGAAGGGAGCTTGGACGGAGGATGTATTCCAACATCGTTGTTGGGTCTTGGACTTACGCTGGTCTTCTTCCTTCTCCTCCTCCTCCTCCTCTTCCTGCTCGGCTGCACGTACAAGTGGTCCTAGGTACGAGTGACATTTGGTGCGCAGCTTTTGGGGGGCGCGAGGAGGCCAAACCCAAGCGCGCAAGCCGCTGTCATCGCATCGCGCTCGGCGATCGGGGGGCACAATGGGCCCGCACCATAGGACACTCTGGAGAACGGTCACTCTCACGCGTAGTCAACTGTAGCACGGGGAAAGCAGGTCCTGAGGGAAACGGGTCCTGAAACCTGCGGCCTTTCCGCCAGGACGACCTCTTCATTCGGGGCCGTTTGCTGACAGCTCTGGGGCCCGTGGAGGGCCCCAAGCGCCCGAACACGGCGAATCACATCAGAACAAGCCGTTCTCAGGACCCGCTTCCCCCATGGCGATCGATCTCCCTCCGCCCCCAGACGGCCCCACGACTTGCTAAAGCGCCACGTCTGCTGCTGGCCAGTTCCCCGGCGGGGGGGGGGCCGCCGTGGCCGCTCCGCGAGACCCGCAGGAGAGAGGACGGAGATGGAGCTGCGGCGAGCGCTCGAAATCCGAGTGCCGGGGCAGGCGTGACGACTGCCGCCATCAAAACACCCTTGGACGATGTTGCTCCCATCGTACTTAAGGACGACATCCTAGAAATAATTTCGGGCACGTTTCGAAACAGTGTCGAGCGAATATCGCCTCCCAGGGCCCGACACGTGGAAACCCTCAAGATTCGAAACTTCCTTAGTACTCGAAATTCTCTCTGGCGATCAAAGCTGAAGTAAGTTCGGAACATCAACATCCTTTGGCCATTTTTTTTGTTTTCGTCGGCGGTTGGGCAGAGGAAGTGCGCTGGCGAGGAGCTACCTAAACGGGGGTGCCGTTGTAGCGAATGGTGCCACCATGCAGGAGGAGGGGACAGGGTAGAGGAAGCGGCTGAAAGAGGGGGCAGAAGGGGAGCGAGGCCGCTCAGGGGGACGGGTCACGCCCCGAGCGCGTAATTCCAGAAAGCAGACGACACTACCCCACTTCCGGCCCCACGGAGCTCAGCGTATACCAGGAAATCTGGCGTGGGCTTTTACGTGGTATAGGCGAAGGTCCCCGATGCGCCGTAGCGCAGCATGGAGGGGCGTAGGTGGGGCGGTGTCGTTTGCTTTTTGCTCGAATCCTGGCATGACGCACTGTAGCAGCAGCGTGTAAGACGACGCCAGGTTTGAAATTCCCCTCCAGCCGCACACATACGCCTTGGGGCGAGGCGAGGGGGGCATCACAGAATGGGATGGTGTGCCAGGGGTCGGTTAGGCCGCCCCTGAGATAAATCCGGGTGAGGATAAGTCGAGAATCTCTGAGATCCAACGGCTCTGGAGGACGTCTCGGGCGCCGCGGCCTTCTCAAAGCGTCCCGGAACGCTCTGGAACGGATTCATCCTTCACCTTGCCCCGCCCGAGAGCGCCAGGGCAGGTGCGAAAACTGCCACCAACAAAACATCCTGGCATGACGCATTGTACCAGTGGCCTGATCAAACACAGGCTTGAACCAAGACGTGCATGAGTGGAGAGGAGGAGCAGAAATAGGGCGAGGAGGATTGGGACAGGGAGAAAGAGAAGGGACACGCGGGGAGAGGAGGTAAGGCGAATGCATCAATCCAGAAGCCGTTCTGTCCTTGCCTGGGTCGCTAAGCGCGAGCGACGCCCCAGGCCTTGTGGAGAGGAGTCGCGACACAGAGGACAGCCCTGGCCTCACCATAGAGCGTCGCATCTTGGGGGCCTGGAGGCTGGCCGCCCTCAGGCAACGGGGGGCCGCCCTCAGACGCATCTGCTGCCCTAGAGGAAGGGGGGGAAGAGGGCAGGAGCATCACGATGACTCTGAATGAGGACGCGCCAAAACTGGCATGACAGGTCTCATACAATCTGCCCCGGGACAAAATAACATCCTACAAGCACATGGGACCCACCGCCGGCCAACACGCACAGAACATCCAAGGTCCACAAGACCATCCAACAAACACGAATAACATCAGGGTGCCCTCTCCGAACCGAGTTCGATCTCATACCTGGGTCCGACTGTATGATCGGCCCTGCGAGGCGGCCGAAGAAGAACACCGCTGCACTTACCAACCACCCTGGATGGACAAGGCGGGCAAGCGCGCGACACACAGCCCAAGGGTCGGTCGAAGAACTGCTCCAGTCCGGTCGAACGACAAGGGGCGTGCGATCGGACCTGGGACAGAAAACATCCTTCAAGAACATGAGACCCTCCGCCGGCCAAAAGGCACACAACATCCAAGTGTACCCTCCCCGAGATGCACAATCACATCCAACACACAGGAGGAACATTAAAGCGCCTTCCCCGAACCGGCCTCGGTCCTATACCTGGGTCCGACCGTGGTCAGAGGGGGGGCGGACGCATCAGCTCACGTGGCCGGTTTCCCCGGCGTCCCCTCGGCGCCAAGAGCCAACAGTGTGTCGAGGAAACGCGCCCGACGGCGGGGCCGAAGCCAGCCGCGCGCAGCAGACTCCGTAGCTCAACCCTTTCCCCATCTCCTCCCCCCCCTCCCTCCCCTTCCTTTCCCATCTCCTCCTCCTCCACCCCACCTCCCTCCCCTTCCCTTCCCCATCTCCTTCCCGCTTCCTCATCTCCACAAGCACACTATACGCACACTACTCTCCTCTCTCCCCTGATGACGTCTGGAAGATGACGTCTCTCTCCTCTCCTCATCTCCCCGCGTTGTTCTTTACACACAGGATTCCCGGGGAACTGGGTTTTCGCTTGGGTTTAATGTTGCATTTACTGCTCCCGCTGCGGCGCTGGCAGCCATCATTTTCGGGCTGCCGCTCATTCCGACACGAGCTCCCGCTGCAACGCTGGCCTCATTAAGCATTTCCGCGCTTCCGCTCGTTCCAGATCGTGCCCGTGGTGGCGGCTGGAGCAGGAGGAGGAGGAGGAGGAGGAGGAGGAGGACGAGGAGGAGGAGGAGGAGCAGCAGGAGGAGGAGCAGCAGGAGGGGGCAAGGGTGGAGGGAGGGAAACAGCCTCGCGCGTATAGCGGGGCTCGGGCAAGGCCCCCAGGCCGGCGCGGCAGGCCCAGAGAGCGCGGGACCCCGGAGGGGGGGCCAGTCGCCGCGCCATCGCCATCGTGTGCGGGGGGCTCGCCTGACGTGCGCCACGGCGTCGGGGAGGCGCTGCTGGGCAAATGTGTGGACCTCCGCTGACACCGGCGGCTGGATCAGATCCCTCCCTCCCTCCTCCTCGTCGCTCCTCCTGCTCTTCCTCCTCCTCCTCCTGTCACTCCTCCTCCTCCTCCTCCTTCTCCCTCCAGCCTCCTCCCTCCTCCCTCCTTCCCTCCCTCCTCCTCCTCCTCCTCTCCTCCTCCTCCTCCTCCTCCTCATTCCTCCTCCTCCTTCTCCTTCTCATACTCCTCCTCGTGACCCCCTCCAGCTACTCCTTTCCTCTCTTCCTCCTGCTCCTCCCCTCCTCCTTCTCCTCTCCTCCTCCTCATCCGATCCTTGTCAGTTGACTCCTCCTCCTCCTCCTCCTCCTCCTCCTCCCCTCCTCCTCCCTCTCTTCCTTCTTCTGCTCCTTCCCCTTGTGCTCCTTATCAGATCCGTCTCTTCGTTCTGCGTCTCCTGATCCTTCCTCTTTAACCTTCTCCTCCTCCTCCTCCTCCTCCTCCTCCTCCTCTTCCCCCTCCTCCTCATTCCTCCTCCTCCTCCTTCTCCTCCTACATCCTCCGCATCCTCCTCTTCCTCCTCCTATTCCTCCTCCTCCTCCTCCCTTTCCTCTTCTCTTCCCCCCCTCCTCTCGTCCCTGCTCATGCCGCTCCTGCTGCTGCACCTCCTCCCTCCTGCGTGGTGCTCAGCATGCTGGCGCCCCCCTCCCCTTGGGAGGCCGCGGCGTGCCCGTGCCAGCGGGAGCGGAAGGCAGGCTGGGGGAGGGCGCCGCTCCTCGCCTCCCCCACCGGGTTATGCCTCTGGGCGGCCTCGTGTGCCGCCGCAGCAGCGATCGATCGCAGGCTCCCCCTCGCGCTGGCCTGACATATCATGTGAGAGCTACCTGGAAAACATTTTGCAAAAAGAAACAAATCAAAATGAAAGCCCGTGTGGATTTCTTGGATCTGCGCTGGGACCCCCTCCCTGGCGCGCGGAGCGCGCCAGGGGCGGCGCCAGGGGCGCCTCCGGGGGGGGCCCAGTGCGGATCCAAGAAGTCCGCGCAGAGCGCCAAAAGTTTCTGTTCATGGCGATGTCCAAGTGCTCCTATTCTCTCTGTTCCTTTTGTCTCTTCGAGAGAATCCAAATGTTCCTTTTCTCTCTGTTCCAAATGTTCCTTTTCTCTCGATTCCTGTTTCTTCGAGAGTATCCACATGCTCCTTTTCTCTCTTGTCGGATGTACCCAGACTGTCGCAGGCACAGGCAGAAGGCAATAATCGAACTGCATCCCCGGGTGTTCTGGCTATCCTTGGGCTACGGATCCAAAGGGGCACAGAGGCTTCCGTGGCAGATCTAGCGCGATGTCGCAGCTTGGAACTCTCAGTTTCCGCAAGCATGCCTCCCCCACTCCACATCCAGTCTCCTCTCACATCATGCCACCCCCTCCTGCCCCCCCCCCCCACACACACACACGCACACACACACACACACACACCGTAGCTCACCTTCCCAACTCCTCCGCATCACTTCCCACGCCACTCCCAACCCTGCAACCGCTGCATGCCTGCCTGTGCGTCCATCATCGTGGGACGGTTCAACTGCATGAGGAAGAAAACGCGTCGACTCAGCTTCCCGGCCTTATCCGCACAACCTTGCAACATTTCTGCCCGGTCAGCTGCGCTGACACGATTGATGCTGGAACTCTGACCGAAACGGTGTACTGGGCCGTGGAGTACGCCGCATTGCCACTGACACAGCACCCCCGTTACCTAAAGTACGCAGTGTAGTTGCCCGTTGCAGTGATGTTTGGGACGAGGCGGCGGACAACAATACGAGGAGATGCCTCCGATACCACTGACTGGGCCTCGCTGGCAAGTGGTGCGCTGCTTCCATAATACGGTAGTTCTGCTTGGTCGTCATCCGTGTCATCACCGCCCTCCTCCTTCGACTGTTCCTCTGGAAATCCGACAGCTCAGCCAGTCTCCTCGGCGTGCGGGACGGCCACAGCACCTAAGCACTGTCCGAAGCACAGGGCCGACCTTGCACAGCTGCGCAGCAGCACCGGCGACCTTCGTGCGCAACGCACGCGACTGCTGACAGCTCAGCAAGCGTGTCGGCAGACGTCGTATGTTTCCTCCACATCCTCCGGACCCGTCTCGTCCCCTCTCTGCTGGGCGGCGCGCCGGTAGAGGGGGAAGTGGGAGGGGGCAGGCGCTGCTGGGCGGCGCGCCGATAAGGGGAAAAGTGGGAGGGGGCAGACCTCCTCAAATGCGGCGGGGCTTCGTAGAAGGCTGGCAACACAGAAGGCTTAGAAAGCATCTCAGAAGTCCTGCAGGCCTGGGAAGGGGGCAGGCCTTCCCGAGAAGGCCTGCCCCCTCTGCCTGGCCCTCTGGACGCGCCGCCACTCCAACCCCTTCTAGGAGTCCTTCCTCTCTCTCCACACCTGAGGGAAACGAAATATACTCGTAGCACCCCGCAATTGCGGATAAGAGTGAGGGGGCGGGCGCGGGCGACGCGGGCGTCGTCGAGCCGGCGGACCTCGTGGCCCCCACCTTCCCTGTCGATGGCGCTCCTCCTCCTCCTCCTCCTCCTCCTCCTCCTCCTCCTCCTCCTCCCTCCTCCTCCTCCTCTTCCTCGTCCTCGTCCTCGTCGTCATCGTCGTCGTCATCCTCCTCCTCCTCCTCCACCTCTCCTCCTCCTCCTCTTCTTCCCTCCTCCCTCTCCCCCCCTCGTCCTTCCATCATCGTCCTCCCATTGTCGTCCACCCCTCATCGGCCTCCATCATCGTCCTCCCATTGTCGTCCATCATCATCATCCTCCCCCTCCTCCCGTTCCTCCCCCTCTCGTCAGTCCTCTCCTCCTCCTCCTCCTCCCCCTCCTCGTCTCCTGCTCCTCCTCCCCTCCTCCCCTCCTCCTCCTCCTCCTCCTCCTCCTCCTCCTCCTCCTCCCCCTCCTCCTCCTCCTCCTCCTCCTCCTCCTCCTCCTCCTCCTCCTCCTCCTCCTTCTCCTCCTCCTCCTCTTGCTCCACATTCTCCTTACATCCTCTCTTCTGTCGCGTCCTCCTCGTCCCCTGTTTACTCCTCCTGCCTCCCCCTCCTTTCCCAAGATAACGAAAAATCGTTTTTTTACACTTTATGCTCCCCGACTTCTCTGATCAAGGCAACTCGCCAGGGCAAAGTTGCTTGACGGGCTGGTGTGGATGCGCGGGGCTTGAAGAGGTCGTTGCGGGCTCAGACGGCATGCCAAAATCCGCCGCCGCGCTTGTGCGGCATTGGTTTGTTCAGTGAACGTGGTTTGGGTCGCGGGTGGGTCGCGGGCTCTCCACCTCCACCTGGAAGGAATGCAAAAGCAGCCCGCCGCAGGCGCCGAAAAATTGTTTTGTACACTGAACGTGGAATGGGTCGCGGGTGGGCCGCGGGTTCTCCACCCGGATCAGATGCAAAAGATGCCCGCCGCAGGCGCCGAAAAGTTTGGTTTGTACCCTGAACGTGGTCGCGGGTGGGCCGCGGGCTCTCCACCTGAAACGAATGCAAAAGATGCCCGCCGCAGGCGCCGAAAAATGTGGTTTGTACCCTGAACGTGGTTTGGGTCGCGGGTTGGTCGCGAGTTGGTTGGGTCGCGGGCTCTCCACCTGGAAGGAATGCAAAAAAAACCCGCCGCAGGCGCCGAAAATGGTGGTTTGTACCTTGAACGTGGTTTGGGTCGAAGGTGGGTCGCGGGTGGGTCGCGGGTGGGTCGCGGGTGGGTCGCGGGTGGGTCGCGGGGTGGGCCGCGGGCGGGTCGCGGGGTGGGTCGCGGGTGGGTCGCGGGTGGGTCGCGGGTGGGTCGCGGGGTGGGTCGTGGGGTGGGTCGCGGGGTGGGTCGCGGGTGGGTCGCGGGTGGGTCGCGGGTGGGTCGCGGGGTGGGTCGCGGGGTGGGTCTCGGGGTGGGTCGCGGGTGGGTCGCGGGTGGGTCGCGGGTGGGTCGCGGGGTGGGTCGCGGGGTGGGTCGCGGGTGGGTCGCGGGTTGGGTTGCGGGTGGGACGACGACAACAAACAACAACAACAACAAACAACAAACAACAAACAACAAACACAACAACAACAACAACAACAACAACAACAACAACAACCACAACAAACAAACAAACAAACAAACAAACAAACAAACAACAACAACAAAAACAACAACAACAACAACAACGAGAACCCGCACCGCGGAATCCCATTTCAGCCACGCACCCAGGGACAGTGAATGACCGTTCGGCCCCCGCACTCTGACCAACACCCCTACTCCACAGACCCCTCCTGGGATGCGTTCTGAGTACGAAACCACCAGCCCTCTGGGCGTAGGTGGTTTAAGGAATTTCCTCTTCCACTCCCCTTCTTCCCTTTCGGGGACGGCTTTTCATTGTTCCCTATTAGTCAACAGCCCCTCCCCCATGCGACTGGGAGCCAACCCAGGTCCATGTGGCCCCCCACCATCCCTTGCACAAGACAATACAAAACACACTCTGCCCTCACCATCCCTTGCACGAAATCAATACAAAACAAACCCAGAGCATGCGCAGCGAACCCGATGCGGCCTCCCCCCAACCATCCCTGTCAAAAAACAATGCTGAATACACTTGGCGGCAGCGGCGGCGGCTGCGGCGGGGGCAGCGGCTGCGGCGGCTGCGGCGATGGCGGCGGCGGCGGCGGCGGCGGCGGGGGCCGCGGCGGCGGCGGCGGCGGCGGCGGCGGTGGCGGCGCGCCGGCGGCGGCAGCGGTGGCGGCAGCGGCTGCGGCGGCAGCGGCTGCGGCGGCGGGTGATTTGGCAGCGGGGGAAGCGGCGGCGGCGGGCGGCGTGGTGGCAGCGGCGGCCGCGAACAGCGGCGGCGGCGGCGGCGGCGCGGCGGCGGCGGCGGCGGCGGGCGGCGGCGGCGGCGGCGGAGGCGGAGGCGGCGACGGATTGGCCCCCAGTAGCTGGCCATCCCAAATCGACTGCTGCATCTTAGTGGGCCCTGGAAACGACAAGGCCGTTTTTTTACCGGTTCCGTTTTGCCGTTTTTTGCCGGTTCCGACGCCGTTTTTTTACCGGCTCCGTCGCCGTTTTTTGACTGGTTCCGGCTCCGGTGCCAATCCTGGAGCCGTTAGTTTGCCGTTTCCGGTCGCCTTTTTTTGCCGTTTCCACTTTCAAGGGACATTTTTTTAGAAACGGTGAAAAAACGGCCCTGCCGGTTCTGGGGCCCACAAAGTGCTGCATATGCTGAGGCTCGGGCCAGGCTCGGGTGCTACGTATGTGTTGGAAGAGCGGGTGGGAGTGAGCGAGACGGCTTGCGGGCGGGGAGGGGGACTCTCGACCCCTCGGTCGCGAGCGGTTAGGGCGTCCAAAACGGCCTCGGCGAGGAAGCCAAAATCAGTTTGTTTTTTACATTGGTTTTGCCCCTAATAAGCCCAAAGATGGCCCCAAGATGGCCCCAAGAGGCCCCCCAGAAACCCCCAGGAGGCCCCCAAGAGGACCCCAAGCGGCCCCAAGAGGCCCCCCCCAGGCACCCAAAACGCCCGAGAGACCCCAAAGACGTCCCAAGAGGCCCCCAAGAAGCGCCCAAGAGATATCCAAAGAGGCTCCGAAAGGCATCCAAGAGACCCCTGGCCCTTCTGCTTGCCCTCCTCCTCCTGCTCCTCCTTCCTCCTCCTCCTACTCCTTCTCTTTCTCCTCCTCCTCCTCCTTCTCCTCCTCTTCCTTCTCCTCCTCCACCGCCTCCTCCTCCTCCTCATCCTATTCATCCTCCTTCTCCCCACCCTCTCATCCATCCATCCAGCCTCCTCCTTCTCCTCCTCCCTCCTTCGCACGGTTCGGCCGTCCCCCTTTTTGCTCCCGCATTTCCCTGATCACCTCAACTCGCCTGGGCATCGTTTCTGGATGGGTTGGTGGGGATAGTTTTTTGTTCGCGAGCGACACAAAGCAACTGCGCGCCGTCAAGAAGCGAACCATCAGCGCTACGATCTAAACTTGTGGGGATCCTTTTTTTTTACAGCCGCAGGCGGAAGCGCCAGCGGCGGGAGGTCGCGGGCGGGCTACGGCCGCGACTAAATTGCCTAGCGCGCGCGGGGGCCGCGGATCGGGCGGCGGGGGAGGCAGCGCTCAGGGCGGCAGCCGACGTGCAATCCAGGGAGACTGAGACAGCCCCAGGACGGGCATGCAACGGTGCATCCAACGAGCCTGAGGTCAGGCACCGAGGAGACCAAACGCAGCCAAAATGGCGCGTGAGGCGTTCCCAGAAGTCCAGATGCGAACAGAAAGGAACGTTCCCGAGGACATCGATCCAGGGAGTCTGACGGGTAACACAGACTGACTGGGGACACTGGTGGGGATCCGCGAAGCGTCTAGAATTTCGAAAAGAATCCAGTCAAAGCGACGAGAGCTCGCCAGGACGGGCAGCGGTACCGGTATCTTTTCCTAATATGATATCCCTGCTCCCTCCCAGGCATTCATCCAACCATTTCTCCGTCAGGGAAAGACGAGAGGAGGGGTGCCAGCTCAATGGGGGGGTGGGGCGGAACAGCAACTTGGAATCTGCGATATATTGCCTGTAGATCCGCGACAGGCACCCGACGGCAAATCTGGACGCTCTTGCGTGGGGTGGGCTATCGCTATTGGGCGCCGTTTATCCGCGTTGAATAGGTAATCGGGGGTCGACGCGTCCCCCCCTGGCTGAGCCTCTCCCGCCCTGACTTTGCCCCAGAACTCCTACTCTAGAGCAGGGACCGACCGTCCCGGCATTTCTATAGGCCTACCACGACATTCTCTTAGAGCCTAACGGTCTTATGGCAACAAAAGCATGGCTCTTAGAACCTAAACCGACGTGTTAAAACAAGACTGTCTCGGCCAGAATGTTCCAAGAGCATGTCGTGCAGACCACAAAGGGTTCTTATAACATTCTTTGGTAGGCCTATAGGCGACCCAGGACGCTTCGCCACTGTTTGGCTTGATTTACTGCCTCCCCCCTGCTTCCAGGCCCTCCCCCCCGCACGGACCGCCAGGTTGTGGTAACACACGGCGAGGAGCGAGGACACGGGCGCGTCGGTGAGCTTGTTCAGGGCCTGCGCATGCGCTTCACGGCCCCCGGTGCCCCTCGCAGCCTCGAGAGAGGCAAAGATACGATGGGGGACCGTCTCGGGGGGGGGGGGGGGGGACATCACTGGCTCAGGGGGGAAGGAACCTCGACCTGGAATCGGAGATGCATCGCCGATAGTTTAGCGATGGGCCCCCGATAGCGAATACGCATGGTCCTGGGCAGGAAGGGTCTGGACCCCCATCGGGGATCACAGGGCTGTCGTGGGGTTCATTTACCCCACCTCTGATTCTATCCCCCAAATCGGTGCCCCTTGCGGTGTGACTTCCTCGGTTCTGCGGGAGGGAAGTAGAATGATACAGTCATCGTGCTTCCACGAGGAGCAAGCCTCGGCTACGGGTAGACTCCCCGACCTAGATCTCCGGAACGGCCTCCCAAAAACAGACCCCTCGTGGGCCCAAAGTGGTCCTTTTCTGCAGCGCCTTAAGATTGGCTGTACAAGTTACGAAGGCCACTGGGTAATCAGGAGCAAAAGCCAGATATTACGGGACGTGCTGACATAGCACCTCTGTCAAATCATGCTCTCAGCTACTGGCCATGAGTCGAACCGCGGGAAACTGATCGTCACATCTGGACCGAAGTTGCGAATCCCTCGGCGGGACACCGTCGTCGTCACCGCGCAGACATGTTGTTATTTGATTATGGCTGGTCGAGGTATCTGTGCTGCTGTTTCGAGCCGTTCGCCAGGCTCTGGGCGTCGCTGGCGCGGGCCGAGCCCAACGCGCTGATGTGTCCAAAAAGCCCACATGCTGAAATGTCGCCGCTGTGACAGCTCGGCGGCGGCGGAGGCCCGCCTCGCGTGGCAGAAGACGTGGAACCAGCCAGCCAGATGGCCAGCGCGGCATCTGGCAGCAAAAGGATGCGCACCGCCGTCGCATCCTCGCCTCCTCCGTGAGCCGTGGGGGAGGAAGATTGTCTCTCCGGCTCAAGGTTTGTTTTACTGGCACTGGCCTGCTCGGGCTGGCATGTTAGCATCTGCGACGCCCAGGCTGGCAAGCACAAGCAGCCGGGGCTCTGCCAAGGCTGTCGGCCGACACAGGCCGTCTGTCCACAGTCCACGATGGGCTGGAGGCGCATCTCTCCCCCCTCCTCCTCCTACTCTCCTCCCCCTGTGCAGTCTGGCACCCCCGGCAGCAGGTGGCGTCTCCCTGCTGGTCGGCAGGGCTGGACACAACAACCCCCTCCGTTCTCCTCGCGCTGCCCATCCGCCTCCTCCTCCAGGGCCTCCTCGCGCACCTGCGCTCCTTCGAGCCTGCTCGGGCGCGGCCGCGCCCCCAGGGGCGCACTCCAGCGCCGCCGCGCCTCGCCGCCCCCGGGAGCCGCGGCGCGGCTGCTGGCCGCGGGGCATCAGGTCCGGGGCGTGGGCACCGCGCGAAAAGCTCGGAGCGTGGAGACCTCGCGGAGCCTGGGGCCAACGGGTCCCGAGGGAGACTGGTCCTGGGCCCCCCCGGGCTCTCCCCCAGGGCCAGCCGCTCCTGGTGGCCAGACTCTGCACGGTCCTGGGGCCTGCGGGGGGCCCCCGGAGCCCGAAGGCGGCAACATAACGACGGGACCGACGCGCTTCCTCGAGGGGCGCCCGCGGAAGGGGCTTCCGAGACCGCGGCGTTGCGCTTGAGACGCCGAGAAGCGGGCGATCCCGCGACGGCCCTGCGGGCAAAGCCGAGCGGGCTTGAGAAACGGGCATCGTTCTTCTCAAGAGCGCCTTTCCCTGGGGCACCTCTTGGAACCGCACGAGGGTGAAGTCGGGCCTGTCTCCCTACAGGGGGATTTTCGACGACGCAATAAAACATACTCCAAAAATAATCAAAAAATAATACGGGGACAATTGTTGTTCAGAACTTTTGACCTTTTGGTTGTATTTTGGGGGCATTTCTCATTTTTCGTCGAAAATCCCCCTGCAGGGGGACAGGCCCGACATGACACGAGGGGCCTGTCTCCTGAGGCCCCGCACGACTCGGCGCTGGGCCCCTGGAAGCGGCCTCGGACGCCGGGGACGCTGGGCCCAGCCTGGCCCCGCGGCCGAGGAGGTGCCCCCCGAGCGCCCAGCGCTCCCCGAGCGAGAAGCAAAGTCTAGAGACAGGGGGGGGCAGGGAGGGAGAGAGAGAGCAGAGAGAGAGAGCAGGATAGAGCAGAAAGAGAGAGAGAGAGAGAGAGAGAGCGAGAGGGAAGGCAGAGAGAGAGAGAGAGCGAGAGCATGCCCCACCATCGCCTCGGGGCCCTTGCGGCGGCCCCGAGGCGCCGGGGACGGCCGGTCCAGCCTGGCCCCGCAGCCAACTGAGGTGCTCGAGCGCCCCAGCGCCCCCCGAGAGAGCGCCCGACCCTGCCGGCCAGCCGCCGCACACCGCGGCGGCCTGCTGCGTGTAGTACTCCGCCTCGGAGCGGTGGCCCTGGCCGTGCAGCACGGCCGCGGCGCGCAGGCAGCACTTGCAGTAGCGGTTGGTCCGCAGCCCGCCCGGTCAGCACCGGGAGGTCATCCGAGCGTGTGAGAGCAGGCGCCACAGCTGGGGCATCATTAGCGACATGATCATCATCATCATCATCATCATCATCATCATCATCATCATCATCATCATCATCATCATCATCATCATCATCATCATCATCATCATCATCATCATCAACATCATCATCATCATCATCATCATCATCATCATCATCATCATCACCAATCACAACATCAACATCATCATCAACAACAACATCATCATCATCATCACTCATCATCATCATCATCATCATCATCATCATCATCATCATCATCATCCTGGATGATCTGATGGCGCTGGGCACTGCTTGCGCATGGTGAGGGGCATCGTGCCTCCTGCCGTGGCGTCAGAGCGAAGAGGGAGAGGTGGATGAGAAGATGGTGTGGTCGGGCGCGTCCTCCTACAGACGGAGATGAGACGAAACTCTACACATAGTGAACAAATACCCCAAACATATTAGTACTATAAAAAAGCGTCCCCTGACTATTTTTGACTAATTCCGGCCGGATATTCCCCCCGAAGAGGGACACGCCCGACTTAACGGTAGAGAAACAGAGGGAGGAAGAGAGACGGGGTGAGGGGTACATCCACGCCCGTTGCCATCCTTCGCTTTCGGTGCAGGCCTGAGCCTCTTATTGAGAGCGCCTGTTCTCAGGAAGTTCCAGGCCGTCCGAGCAGGAAGAGCGAATGTTCACGAGATGGGTAGCTCAGACTTGCTCGATATGCAGCGGGATGTGGGTGGGGTATGGGGGGTGGGTGGGTGGGTGGGTATATAACGGTTGTACATTTTAATGTGCCCCCAGCTCGCGTGGCCACCGGCATGTGCTAGACGCTCGTCGTAGTACGCGTTCTCTCGAAATCGACGTGAGTTCATGGACTCGAGCGTCTTTGGTTCGCTCCTGATCAAAATCTGCGCCGCGTCGGCTTGTCGGCCAAGTGAATATGAGTATGGACGCCCCAGCATCCCAAGCTGTGGGAGGCTGGATCGCCTAGCCACCAAATTCTGTCGCCAAATTCCTTGGCGCTTCGGCCGACCAAACGACGTGGTGAATACATCGGGCCCGTACGTGGCAGAAAAACCTTCCCGAGCATCCGCTCGAAGCTTCTGCTTGGAGCCATCGCAGACCGGGGCAAAACAACAGGATCGCGTGGATCCGTCAACGCGGACAGCAAAGGGCCACCCCCGTGCCGCCGTCCGCTCGAGCACAGAACTCCAAACTCCTGACGTCGGCCCCACGACGGCCCCAAGACACCCTCCAATCGCCCGAGAGGGCCCCGGACGACACTCAAGGGCCGAAGGTGGCCCACGGACGGCCCTGGGGACCACCAAAACTGCCCCGCAGGAGCCCAGGCCAGCCCCAAGACGGCCCAAACAAAGTCTAGGAGAATTCCTCGACAACTGTGGAAAAAAGGTACCACATGCGACGGCTCTCTTCTTCTCCCTCCTCCTCCTGCTCCTCGTTACCATCCTCATCACCATCAGAAATCTTAACCGTGAGACGTCGGTGAAAGCCTGCGCCGTCGCCCAATTTTCTCCTGGGCAAGAGCCGCTCCGGATGCCTCCTGACACGTCCAAACGCAATCGGGCCCGAGAAATGTGGGCGGCAGAGGTGACGACCTCGTGTATGTGCTTCAGCCGCAAGTACCGTTCCGACGCCTGCGGGGGAAGACGCATGAAGAAGAAGATGCCACGAAACCCTTCCGAAGTGCCGCCGTCGGATCATGTCCAGTGTGGCGCCCCAGCTGCAACCCCCATCGTGCACGCCCATGCCGTCCAATCGTGAACCGGGCGTCACCCAAACAAACCGAGCCACACGCCCGCCAAGAAACGAGCCTCCAAAATGAGTAAGCTTCGCACTCCCACCGCGATGTATCGAGCTCTGACGCGTTCTGGCCGTGACAAGGACTCCGCCTTCCTTTGCTCATTCGATCCGCCGAACCCTTGCGGTCTACGGCGTGTGGCACCGATGCCCCTCACCAAGCCCCTCCCTTGGGCGATCCGTCCAACAGGTTTGGAGGTAGGGAGAGGGGGGTTGCGCGAAAAGGGCCAGCGGACTGACTCAACTGTCTTAAGGATGTTTTGGGACGGCGTGCATGGTTTCGACGTTGCTTTGAGGGCATCCCCGACGATCACAGATTGCACCTCGTCGCCCTGGAATGGCTTCAAGACAACTCACGGGGCCTCCAAGACGCCACCCGAGGGCTCCCAGAGACCCCTCACCCCAACAAACCAACACTGGCCCATTCCGAATAGAAAACTAGCATGCTTGGCGAACAGGCTGAGATGCCCTCAACCTCGACCCGAGACGGACCAAGAGGCTTCCAAGAGAGCCCCACGACGGCTCCAAACGGCCTCGGGGCGGCCCAAGACGCCCAAGCCAATCCGAGAAAACCCTGGGACGGGCCCAAGGCTGCCCAAGATGGCGCCAGCCCCCCTCTAACCCAAGATGGCCCCCATACGGCCCGCAAGGCGCCGCGGACAGCCCAGGAGGACCCTCTGAGGCCCTGGTGGGCGATCCAAGATGCTGCCTCGAAGGGGCCCGAAAGCTTGGAGTCTCGGAGACTCGGGGAAGCTCGGGCCTGGGCATCTGCTGTGGGGGAGGGGGAGGAGGAGGAGGAGGAGGAGGAGGAGGAGGAGGAGGAGGAGGAGGAGGAGGAGGAGGAGGAGGAGGAGGAGGAGGAGGAGGAGGAGGAGGATGGGCCACGAACCAAAGGGCCCCCCACGAAGGCCCCAACAGGCCAACATTCCATCACTTCCCCAAGGGAACCTGGCCTTTCGGCGAATTTTGCGCCAGAGGCCTGGACCCTCGACCCGCGACGGTCCAAGAGGACCCCAGGACGGCCCCCACGCCAGCTCCCGGCCTGCCCCCCGGCCGGCCCCAGAGACGCCCAAGCTAGCCCAAGGGGACTTCAAGAAGGCTCCGCGACAGCTCAAGATGGCCCCAGACGGCCCATCAATGGCACCACCCAGCCCAAGATGGCCCCAGTACGGCCCACAAGGAGCCGCGGACGGCCCAGGAGGGCTCCAAAAAGGCCCTGTTTTCGCTGTCTTGGGCGTCCAAGAGAGCGTCAAGACGGCTCAATATGGCCTCAGTGCGGGCCAAGACGGCCCCAAGACAGTCCAAGATGGCCCCAAGACTGCCCAAGTACGGGCCAGTATGGCCCCAAGACAATGCAAGATGGCCCCAACGAGGGCCAAAAAAGCCACCAAGACAGCCCAAGAGGCCCCAAGAGGCCCCCAGAGGATTCTCTAAGAGCGCCTCCAGACCTCCAGAGGCCAAAACCATTGATTTTCCGATGGTGCGTGCTATAAGTTAGCGTTCTCGCCTTTTTCGACTCTCAGGCGCTCATGACGGTCCAAGCAGCCTCCGCAATGCACCCAAGAAGAGGCTCCGCTTCGGATGCGTACGTATAGTGTGACACCCGCAGGCCCCGTCGAGACAGACAACCTTGAAAACGTCTTCTCCTGAATGGTTCCCAGACGACCACGAGATCAGTACTGGCGGGGTGACAGCGGGGACGGCCCTGCTGACTAGCGCGGGGAAGCCTTGGCCCCGGCGCGGCGGCACGTGCACAGGAGGGGCGTCGGGGAACGCGCTCCCGAATAATGACGCGGAGGGGGGACGGGGCTTGAAGTCCGGGCCAAACCGGGAGATGATCTGACAGGCAACGACATTCAGAAGCCATTCCTCCTTCCCTCGACACTTGGGGCACCGGAGGCCTCCTTCGCCACGGTGTGACGTGTCGGGAGTGCCTCGAGGAATACCGGCGTCGCGTCCACCGCACTTCAGCATCGACTTACGGCGGCAATCTGCTCAACTCCATTGCGGTATCTTCTTCGCTGTATGATTGCCCGACGGGTCTTGCAAGATGCTCACGGTCTCCAAGGGCCCATGACGGCCAAAGCAGCTTCAAAAATTGCCCCAAGACGGCCCGATGGACCGTTAAGAGGGCCCAAAGACGGCCCTTGAGGGCCCCAAGATGTCCCCAAGAGGCCCCCAAGACGGTCCAACAGGACCCCCAAACGGCCCAAGAAGGCCCTACGAAAGCAACAATGCGGCCCTGAGAGGCCCCCAAGACGGCCTCCGAAGGGGCCAGACGTCGCCCCAAGGCGGCCCACCAGGCCCCCCTAAGGCCCCAAGAAGCACCCAAGGGGCCCCCAAGAAGCCCCAAGAGGCTCCAAAGAAGCTCCCAAGATGCCCCCAAGAACCCCCCAAATGGCCCGAAGAAGCCACCAATGCACCAGCGGCATTGCATACGAACGGCGCGTTATTGCTATGCTCATCGGAATTCGAATGTGGCGTTGCCTTGTGACTCTTCCTCCTCCTCCTCCTCCTCCTCCTCCTCCTCCTCCTCCTCCTCCTCCTCCTCCTCCTCCTCCGCCGCCTCCGCCTCCGCCGCCTCCGCCTCCGCCTGCTGACATGCGGTGAGTGCTCATTGCCCTCGTGGGCATTCGGACTTCGCACACTACTCGTCCTGGCGCTGAAACGGGGGGGGGGGGCACAGCTGCCTCCCGCCGCACTGACAGCGCCCCGGGGCGGCGGGCAGAACGACGCAGCCGAACTCCGCGGCAGACGAGGGGGGCAACCCACCCAACGCCAAGTCATCTTGTGCTCTGGACGAAGCGACAGGGATCATGGATCGACGCGGAGTTGAAGTCCATCCGCTGAAGAGCGCGACGAGGGAGGCGCGAACGGAGACTGCCCCGATGCAGAAGTAGAGAGCAGGAGAGGATCGGAGGAGAAGGACCAGCGAGTGCCCGAGGCGACCACTCAAGACGCGGCACCCCCACTCGATACGCCTGAGTATTGATATCGAATCACGGCCATTACTGTCCGTTCTGCATCGAAGGCAAACTTTATGTCCAAACAAGAGGTGGCACGCATGTTCAAATTAAGATCAACCTGCATATATGGAACGTCTGACATGTTAGGGCTGTTGTCGTCAGCCTAAACAGATGTGTTGAACTGTTAATTACTGTTTGTGTGCCTCTCTGCCGCATCACTGCTCTCCCTGCCTGCCTGCGTTCCTCCACCCCTGCATCCAGCAACGCGAACACTTGCCAATAGTTGTTTGTAGCAGCTTGGCAGCTGAAACAAGCGCTATGATCCTCATTCACGTCATGCTCCTCATTATGATCGCTTGTCATCTTGAACATCGTTGTCGTCGCCCTCATTTCCCTCCATGGCCCCACAAAGACCAATTGCTCTATGGCGAACCGCCCATCGCCTAGATTCTTGAAAAACTCGTAACATCTTATGTCAGCCCCCTGCCCCTTCTCATCCTCGCTATGCTTGCTCATCCTTCACGTCATGTACATGTGTCTCATCCTCCTGTCCTCCTCTCCCCCTACCTATCCGTATCCGTCTCCCAGGCTCATCGCCATCCGTCTCACCCTGGTACTCGTTATCAGTATCCCACCCCTTCCTCATCCTCCTAATCCTCCTCCTCTCTATACCCCCGTCATCTTCGACTTCCTCCACATCCTCATCCTCACCGTCGTTGCCCATTCATTGCCGGGACTCCCTGGACTCGGCCCCCTGCCGTGAGGAATGGGATCCAGCTGGGGTGCTCGGCCCGCAGGTGCGAGCCGCCACCCACCATGGAGGGCCTGAGCTCGGCGACATCCGCGCGGCGGTCGGCGAGCAATCCAGGGCCGCCTCCTTCGCCTCAGCCCAGGCGAAGCTCGGGAGCTGGGCGAGGGCTAGCAAATCCGTGGCTGCCCAAACGGTCTTCCCGCAAGGAACAGAACACATCCCCGGCAGAAAACTCGGCGCGCTGAGCAAAACACGGGCTGCCTCCCGGAGGAAGGAGCACTTCCCCGGAGCTCCGCGTGAGCAGCCACGGGTCGGCCAGCCTTCGCCTGGCCTCTGAGAAGCTGCGACGGACTGGGAAGGACTAGGGAAACAAAAAGTGGCATAAACATAAAAACTCGGAGGTCCGCGCGGATTTCTCGGATCGGCGCTGGACCCCCCTCCCTGGCGCGCGGAGCGCGCCAGGGGCGGCGCCGGAGGCGCCGCTGGGGGGCACCAGCGCCTATCCGAGAAATCCGCGCGGACCTCCGAGTTTTTATGTCTATGCCACTTGTTGTTCCCCTTATAAGGACCGCCCAGGACCGGGCCCGTCGGCGGGAGGGGACCGGGCGAGCGCCGCCGCGGAGTGCGGTGGGGCCGAGCAGGGGCGCGCCGCGGCTCTCCGAGAGGAGGGCCGCGAGCCGAGGCGGGGCCGAGGCAGGGCCTGGCGGCGGGCCGCGGCACGGCGACGAGGCAGGGCAGGCCACGCGGGCCGCTGGGGGGTGCCTGCCGTGAGGTCGGGCGTGCCCCCTCCTCCTCCTCCTCCTCCTCCTCCTCCTCCTCCTCCTCCTCCTCCTCCTGCAGGCGAAGTTTGGGACGGGAGCCTAAAGACTACCCCCCAAAAGTAGGCACAAAACTGTTCGAACAGAGTCGGCAGCATCGTCCCCCAGCATGTTTTCTTCTGGATTTTTTTTAGGATCGTACCCCTGCAGAGGGACACGCCGACACGCCCGACTGAAGCCTACGTAGGCACGACGCCGGGGCTTCGATCGCGGAGATCACCAGGCTGCAGGCGCGGGCGACGACGCTTCCCAGGCCCTGGCGCTGGATCGCGAGCGGAGGGAGCACAGGTCCTTCAAGAACGCGCTTGGCTTGCGAGTGCTCCGCGTCTGGGCCAACGTGCGAAGCGATTTGGCGAGCGAGTGAGAGCGGTCCCTCATGTCGGAGCTTTCTTGGGGCGAACGCGACAAGAAGTGGTGCACCAGACCATGGAGCATTCCGCGCGGGCCAAGGGCATGCAGATTCGACCACGAGGTGCTGGTGCAGGAGGCGGAGGCTGTCTATTTTCTGCTAGCGCTCGCGGTCGCAGCTTGCCAGCTTACGCTGGGCCTCAGATGATTTCGCTCATGGGGGAGGTCTCGGATATCATCGCGAGCGCTGGGCACCATCCTTGCGGGCTGCTCGCTGGCGGCGACGCTGGCGAGGGTCCATCCCTACCGGCTGCTGGTGCGCGTGGCCGCGACGCATCCGTCGGTCATGTTGCGCCACGTCCTCGACGACGTCGGCGGCCAGGCGCCAAGGACCTCGACGCACGTGGTCCAGCAGGGCCAGGGCGGGCAAGGAGCCGGCAGACGGCTTCTCCCAGCCGGGCCTCGCGCTTTCGGTGCGCACGACCTGGCACCCCGCCTCGTCGCCGTGCGTGGCTCACGGCCTCGAGGCACTGTGGAAGCCCCGCCACTTCTCCGGCAGGAAGGTTGCTCAAAGCCCCGGGCTGGACTGGAGCGTCGGCCAACTCGCAGGGGGGAGCCGGGCCCTGAAGGACACGGATCCTGGATCTCCCGTGCCGCTTCCTGGCAGTCCCGGCGGCCGTGGAGGGCCCCGAGGGCCCGCAAACCGCACAGAACGTCGGGGCCCGTTGGTTTCCCCCCATGGGCCCCCATGGCGAGCAGAGCGAGGCGGGCCCCGGCAGTTCCGCGTCGAGCCCGCACCTGCTCCAGGCGTTATCCCGGGGGCTCTACGCGCGCTGCGCCGCGCTGGAGCGACCGTGGCCGTGCCCAGGGGGCCCGGCCCTGGGGCCGCCGGCATGGGGAAGGGCGCCGGGGGGGCTGCGCTCTTTGAGGGACTCGAGCTCATGCCTTGCTCGGGGACCCCCTGACCCAGGTCAACCCAATCCCGGGTCACTCGGGCTCCGCAGGATCCTGCAAGATCCTGCAGGCTTCTGCAGGATCCTGCACCCCGGCCCGGGTCAGTGCACCCCTGGCTCTGCGGGACTCTGCAAGATCTGGAGCTCCGGCTGAACACCCCTTTGCATGGAACCCCGTCTCATGCAGCTCGACTTGCACTCTCTGTGCCCCCGGCGCAGGGGGACCGCTACGGGTCTCGAGTTGTCTTTGTTGTTCGCCTCGGCAGGCCGATCGGCCCCGCTCCTTGGTATTATTCGGCTGCCATGTCTGCCTGGGCCGGGGCCGTCCGGGACGCCACGCCGCGGCTTCGCATTCTGCAGGCTTCCTTTGGGGCCTTGGCGGTGGCTCCCAGGCCTTTGACGAGGGCCGCCTCCCCTGCCCGCGTTTACGCGATAGCGCTCGGGGATCCCGGATGGTCGGCCGCTTCTGCCAGGAATGTTGTGCTCGCCTCTGGGGGAGTCTTGAGCTTGCTCAGGACCTCTCCCACGGGGGTTGCACGGCTTGCTGCCGACGCTGCTCGTGACATGTCTGATGTTCGTGAGCCCGATGTTCGCAAAAGATCCTCGGGTGGAGCCGAGCCGATGTCCAGGGCTCCGCTCGGAAAGCTTCGTTCTCTTTGCCGAGGTCTGGACGAAGGGCCATGCCAACGTCCTGAGGGCTTCAGTTCCGAGTGCCCACAGGACCCAGGCCCGTCTGTGTAGGCACCATTTCTCAGACACGGTTATCTGCCGACTCTGCCAGGGCGGTCATGGCACGCTCTTTCACCGAGAATTCGTCCTGCTGCAGCGATAGGCCGCGCACGAGCTTTGCAAGAGTCAGGGCTCGGCCCAGAGCAGTTTTCTGCAGGTATCATCCCCTGTCCTCGAGACCTCGTCCCTCCTCCGCACCGCGCCTCTGAGTGCCACATAATGTGGATAGGGAGGCCCGGCGACGGACGACTCAGAGGTAAGCTGTTCACCGACGGATCTGCTTCCCTCAGAATCCTAACCTTCGGAGGGCGAGATGGGCTGTGGTGATGGTGGACGACGGGGGGCATGATCTCGGCCTGCTTCGGGCCAGTGCCGTGGGAGTTAGGCCCCCAGCAGCTGGCCAAAGATGGGGAGGAGTATGTCGTTGCCATGCTGTCTCGTGTTGCCAGGTATCAGTTTGAGGTCTGGTGCGATTGTGCGGCCACGATTGCCTGCGCATTGGACAGGCATTCGGCCACGTTGGTCAGAACTCCCCAGGCCAATCTGTGGTGTAAGTTTTTCAGGACCTTCGACTACGGGGTGCCGGTCCACAAAACCAAGGCCCACACGCCTGAGGCCGACGTCCAGGCTGGCCGCACTGCCCCCTGGGAGCGCAAGGCCAACGCGGTGGCCAATTCCCTTGCCAAGAGAGGGACAGCCTTACATCCTGATGCGGGGCGGGCCGCTGAGGAGCTGGGGGGCCTCGCGTGCTTGGGAGGAGGAGGAGGAGGAGGAGGAGGAGAAGGAGGAGAAGGAGGAGGGAGGAGGAGGAGGAGGAGGGAGGGAGGGAGGGAGGGAGGGAGGGAGGGAGGGAGGGAGGGAGGGAGGGAGGGAGGGAGGGGAGGGAGGGAGGGAGGGAGGAGGGAGGAGGAGAGGAGGAGGAGGAGGAGGGGAGGAGGAGGAGGAGGAGGAGGAGGGGCCCAAGATACTCTCACGGCGGCGGGGGAGTGGCAAGGTGGGCTCCCAGAGCGCTCGAGCGCCCCGAGGGACCAGGCCGCCCCGCCTCCCTCGCCGTCGCTCTCGCTCCGCTTCAGTGGTGTGTGTTGCCATGCGGGCCGAGGAGCCAGTCGACGAGGAGCTGGCACCACTTATCCAGCTCTTCCAGCGCCAAGTTCGACTCACCAGAGTCTTCGACGCTCAGGGGGCTCTCGTGACCGCTGCCCTTCTGCTGCTCTGCTGCACTTCGTGCGGAGCGTTCGCCGGCGCAGGAGTGCGTGCCCTGCCGCAGCCCTCCATCGGAGCGGGGGCCGCCACCGGGCTGAAGCAGCAGCGACTGCGCACTGCCCGTGGCCTCGTCTCCCGCGGGCCGAGCCAGAACGAGGGATGGGCGGTCGGTGCTCTGGAGGTCCCTTCCCCCTTGGGACCTCTGCCAGCTGGCCGAGCCTGTCCTGAGCAGGAGCAGGGCCGCGGCGGTCCGCACCCGCGCCTCTTTTGCTCGGAGACTCCTTGCCCGCGCCTGGGGCCAGGGGCGATCCTGGCCGGGTTCGGTCTCGAAGCTGCCAGGCTTGCACGAAGAGGACCGCCGCGGCCGCCTCCAGGCGCTCCGAGCAGCTGGAGGACTAGGCCCAGTGGGAATGGTCCCCCGTCGGCCTTGTGCCACCAGGCCTTCGGCCGCCGGTCTGACTGTCCTTTCCACTTCCGTGTCGCTGACCCGTGCCCCTCATGCTCCCTCTTCCCCTCCACCCGCACTGCCCCCTTCCATCCTCAACTTTGTCCCCTTTTTCTCAATTCAGTAGGCTGCTCCTCCTCCTCCTCCTCCTCCTCCTCCTCCTCCTCCTCCTCTTCCTCTTCCTCCTCCTCCTCCTCCTCCTCATCCTCCTCCCCAGCCTGCGCCCACGCATGTTCCAATCTCATCGTCCTAATCATATGGCCACGTCCCCGTCCCCCCCCCTCATCCGTTCTCGTCCACCTCCTGGTAATCACGCTCTCCTCTCTTTGTGCTACACCGATTATAATCAAGTCGTGTGCCCTCGGTCCTCACCCCAACTGCGCTCCTCCCCCTCCCGACACGTCCATCTCCACATTCGCCCTCAACGCTGCTCATCAGTATCGTCTTCATCATCCCCGGTCACGTAACTGTTTCCCTCCCCCCTCCGCCATCACCCCTATCCCCGTCCTTGCCAATACGCTTTTCCTCTCTTGTAATCGACTCCCCTTCGTCCCGTTTACTCGTCCAGCCTTCCTTCACCGTCTCCTTGCATTCCTGCATTCCTTCTGTCGCCATCCTCCCCATGTTTCCATTTTCCATCCTTCCATTCACTCTTGCACCTTCCCGCCTTCCTCCTCTTCGGGTTTCCTCGCCTTCTTCCCGCATTCGCTCCTCCTTCCATCCTCCGTCCCCTCCCCGTTCGCCTTCCCCCCTCCATATTTAATCTCTCTCATTCCCTCCTTCACCGTTTTCCTCCCGCATCCCGCCTCCCCAAGCCTTCTCTCCATCTGCCTCCCACTTTCCCCTTCGTCTTACTCATCGTCCTGCACCTCCTCATCGTTATCCTCTCCACCTGCGTAGCCCCGCCCAGGCTCCAGAGAGGCGCCGCCTGCTGGAAGAACGACTCTGCGCGGTCCGACAGCGAGACATCGTTCGGCCTCGGGAGCTGCCGCAGCCGAAGGGGAATAACCGCCACTCCCCTGCCGCCCCCCTCCTGCTGCCCATCCCCCCACCCGCCTCCTCCGAGGACGACGGGGAGGACGGGGGCGAGGGAGGGAAAGGAGGGAGAGGCGAAGGAGGAGGAGGAGGAGGAGGAGGAGGAGGAGGAGGAGGAGGAGGAGGAGGCGGAGAGTCATCCCCCAGTTCGGCAGCCCTGCTCAAACCCGACACCTGCGAGCCCTCCGCCACCTGCCCATCGCCAGGTCCGAGGCAGGGCGCGCCGCACGGGCGGCCTCCAGCGCGGCCCTCGGGGCCCGGGGGGGGGGGGCCTGACCCGTCGCGAGAGGCCGGCGCCGTGCGTGCAGGAGGCGGTGCCGGTGGCATGGGGCGACGAGCTGTCGCGTGCGCGGCTGCGAGCACCACACGAGGGCGAGGCGCTCGGGGAGGGGGGCGGGAAGGTGGGAGCGGGAGACCGCTGCAGCACCCTACAGAAAACACGTCGGCAACCGATATAGTGGCACGGGCGATCTCCTCGGCAACCCTCGCAGCCGAGCAGGCAGCCCGTGTCTTCAGGCCTGACAAGCGCGTGCCTGTGACCCATCCACCTGTCCATGTGCGGACAGCGGGGGGCCTTGCTCCAGGACCCTAGACTTTTTTAAATCAGCGGCCGCGGGCGAGCGCGCCGGCGGCGAGTCAGGTCAAAGCGGGCTACGCAGCGACGAATTAAGCGAAAGCAGCGCGAACAGGCTACGCCTAACGCGGCTAACCGAGGCCTCACGCGGCGGCCCAGCGGCGGGCGGGTGGCAGGGGAGACTGAAACTGAGCCGAACTGCCAGCGTGCCAGTAAGCAGGGCGTCGGAAGCACCAGGAAGTCGGAATAGGCGACGACCAGGCAGGACCCTATATGCACTGCGTCCTGATCGAAGCCATGCGAGAGGGCTGGAGTCGAACGAGAACCAGCGCGCGGGCCGCCTGCGCAAGGGAGGAGGGCGTTCTAAGGGCTTCGTGGAGGGCAGGTGGCAGGCTACGGGCGAGAGAGCCCGCTGCACTACGATGTGAGGCGCGCGAACAAACAGGGGGGGGTCAGAGCGGAGAGGATCAGAATTGCGGAGGGCGGGTGGAGGGCGGAGGGCGGAGGGCGGAGGAGGAGGAGGAGGAGGAGGAGGATCTACCTGGCCCCCCCCTGGATCTCGCCGCGCGTCGCTGTTCGCCCCGAGGCTCCAGCCCCGGCCGGGGCCGCGGCTCGCCCCGGGCCGCCTGGCCCGCCCGCGCGTCCGCTGGAAGTGAGGCCAGTCGCAGAGTACAGTCGGGGCGTTGACCTAAGGAACCCTAAATAAGGAACGAGGCCCCTTTTTTCCATAAGTTAAACTTCGATTTCCCATCGAAAACACGAGGAAAACCTGAGGCAAGCTGTGAAACAATCAAGGAACACCGAGCCCCTCCCCAACGAAAAGGGTTCCTTCTTCAGCGCCCCGACTGTACCTTCTTCTCAGCAGGGCCTCTCCGAATGCAGCTGTCCTACCGACATCTGCGACTACGCGCAGCCCTCTAAAACCTGGCAGAATCGCTTCCGGCACGCGGTGAACGCAGTGCCTGTGCGCATGCGTGCCGACGTAGCCGTACTTTTAGGTCGGGCGTGTGCTCCTACAGGGAGAATTTGGGACGAAAGCTTAGAAACACCCACCAAAAATTTAGAACGGCAAAAAATTAGTCAAAAATCGTCCCCATACTATTTTTGGACTATCTTTGAACAGTTCCCCTGTAGAGGGACAGGCCCGACGTAGCCGTGCTCCTGATATCCCCCTGTGGCACAGGGCCCACCGAGGAAGAGGGGAGGCCGAGGAAGCAAGATGGAGGAGGAGGACGAGCACGAGGAGCAGGGGTAACAGGGGGAAGAGGAACCCTGGAGGTAGACAAGGAGTATGGTGTAAAGGAATGTGGTGCCAATGCTAGGTCTGGCGAGGTTATCTATCGTAGGTAGCATCGCCATTTCCGCGATTGGCACCACACCCCTTTATGCCACACCCCTTTCCGACCTCCAGAGGAACTGGTGGAGGCGACGGAAGATGAGAAGTTCCTGGGGGGGCAGGAGGAGGCGGCGCAGAAGGAGGAGGAGGAGGAGGAGGAGGAGGAGGAGGAGGAGGTGGTAGAACTACAAGGAGCACGATGATGAGAAAAGAGCAGGAGGGAGATCGAGGATGAAAGGACGAGTACGAGACTCAGGGGTGAGGAGGACAAGGCAGGGAGATGGAGATTTGACATTTTGATCGGCAGCAGCAACTGCAGCTGCAGCTGCAGCTCCGAGTACCTCCCTCCATCCATCCGCCCCTCCCTCACTCACTTCCTCGCTCCTCCCATCCTCACCTTTCATCCTCCATCACTCGTCCTCCAGCCACCCACTTCCTTATCCTGAGCAAGCTCTCCGACAAATCCTTCCTATCTCCACACCCCCTGCCTCCATTCGTATTCCTACATCCGACCTTATGGCAAACAATGAGCCAACTTGTTGAAGCTCCCGAACCTTAAGTCGGGCCTGTCCCCCTACAGGGGGATTTTCGACGAGAAATAAAAAAAATACCCCCAAAATAATCCAAACATAATCCACAAATAATCTGGGGACTATTTGTTGAATATGTTTTGACTTTTTTGTTGCATGTTTGGTGTATGTTTTATTTTCGTCGAAAATCCCTCTGTAAGGGGACACGCCCGACATAACCCGAACCCTCTTCTACATGTGATCTTCCGCAGTGCGTCAGTGTGCGGAGGCGCCCGGGGCGAAGTAGGACACAAAAGGCCGAACCTCTCAGCGGCTTCCCGTCCTCAACCTCTCATGCCTCCAGGGCTCGGGGCACGCCAGCTTCACAGCTCAACGGTGGGCCAACGTTCGCCAACGGCAGCAGACACAACCTGTAGCGAGCGGATACGCCGTGCCCCAACACATCCTGACAACGCAGCCTGCTTGGGCGTGGGCCCCGCTTCTGTAAAACCCCCCTGGGGTGAAAGCGGGAGCCTAACTCAAACAATCGGTGGTCTGGGGCTTAGTGGGCCCCGGAAACGACAGGGCCATTTCTTTACCGGTTCCGTTCTGCCGTTTTTGTTGCCGGTTCCGACGCCGTTTTTGTACCGGTTCCGTCGCCGTTTTTTTGACCGGTTCCGGTTCCGGTTCCAGTCCTGGAGCCGGTTTTTTGCCGTTTCCGGTCGCCGTTTTTTTTCCGCTTCCATCTTCAAGGGACATTTTTTTCGGAAACGGTGAGAAAACGGCCCTGCCGTTTCCGGGGCCCACAAAGGTCTGGGGCCCATCCAGAGCTTCCGCCTCGACCGCCTCCCCGGAGGCCATGGCGCGCTGCTGGGCCCGGCGCATGTAGTAGCAGACGCTGAGAGCCGTGTCGTAGAGGTAGGCCTCGATCACCAGGCGGTGCCCGGGGTGCAGGTCACGCAGCGACAGGCTCATGTTGTCCAGCGCCTCCGGGCTGCACGCGGGAGGCAGCAAGGATGCGTGTGCGGAGGAGGAAATTGCGATAGACGGCATGCTAGCTCATTGCCAACACATGTGGGCGCGAATGAATGGTGGGCGCGAATAAGTGGTCACAGTTAGGCCCGAAAGGCCCCTTCGGGGCCCTAAAGAGCCCCTTTCTGAAGCCCTCGCTGCCGCCCCATTTGTCTCACGGACATCCGCCATGCTACAGTCGGGGCCCTGAAGAAGGAACCCTTTTCGTTGGGGAGCGGCTCCGTGTTCCTTGATTGCTTCACATTTTGCCTTGGGTTTTCCTTTGATTTTTTCGATGGGAAATCGAAGCTCAACTTGTGGATGAAAGGGGCCTCGTTCCTTATTTAAGGTTCCTTGTGTCAACGCCCCGACTGTATTCCTGCTGCTTCGCCGCTCCCGCCTCCTCCGTCAAGTACTGCTGCTGCCCCGGCTCCTTGTGGCTTCCCCTGACGGTGCCTCCTCGAGCCCTCGCGCTCTGCTCAGAAGCTCCTCCGAGCTTCCCATGGCGGTGCCAAATCGAGCACGTCTCGCCTGTCGACCGCTCTCTGCTCGTCCCGACACGAAGCAGCAGCGGTGCGCGCGAGGAGATGGAATTCTGCCTGCGCCCTGCAGCTGCGCCCGCCCGCGCGCCACACCTGAGGGGCAGGGGGCCGCGCGTGAAACTCGGAGCCTGGGGCTCGAAGATGCTGCACGATACGCCGCAGCCGTGGCTTGTGGTGCGCGAGGAACTTCCATCTATACACCACCACCGTGCCTGGCTGGGGCCATCCTGGGCCCTGGCGACCCCGCCTGGTGTGTGCGTGTGTGTGTGTGTGTGTGTGTGTGTGTGTGTGTGTGTGTGTGTGTGTGTGTGTGTGTGTGTGTGTGTGTGTGTGTGTGTGTGTGTGTGTGTGTGTGTGTGTGTGTGTGTTTACCCCCCAGGCCAAGACCATAAGAATACTTGCACCATCCCGCGGCCCAGGATGGCCCAGACCGGGCACGGCGGCAGTGCATCGATGCCTTCTGCGGATCTCTGAGCCAAGCGTTGCAC